CTCTCTCTCCCTCTCTCTCTCTCTCTCTCACACACACACACACACACACACACACACAAATAAAAAATAAAAATAAAACTTTTTTAAAAAGACTATATGAGAGAGAACATGTGATAATGTCTTTGTGAGCTGGCTTGGTTTCACTTAACATGATGCCCTCCAGTTCCATTTACTTCGCACAAACAACATACTGTGCTTCTTTGTGACCAAAAATTATATATATATATATATAGAGAGAGAGATGTGTGTATACATAGATACACACACATGTATGTATATGTCTTGCCTTTTTTTTTCTCCTCTCTCCTTCCTTCTCCCTCTCTTCCTCACCTGTCTTCTCGTTCTAACCTTCTCTGTGGCAACACAACAGAAGCGTATTTACAGTTTCTACAGACGGTCTAGATAGTGGAAGGCCATTCAAGCTTCCATTTTGTCCTTAAGTCCTCTGTGATTTAGTCTACTCAGTCCATGGGTAAGAGTGGAGGTGTCTAATCTCACGGCCCACAAGAGGAACCCCCGGGCTGGGGAGGAGGGAGGAATGTGGCGGGGGATGGGGAGAGCATCCTTGCTGACACTCCACTGACCTCTTCCCCCCAGGAGGCGGGATCAAAAGCCCATTGTATGACTTCAAAGGGAAGCAAGGGGACGAGGATGTTGAGCAAAGAGAGCCAAGACCCTTCCCCACCCTGTGATCTCCCCTCTCCTACCTCAAATTTAAAAGACCAAATGCCCTCCACTCCCAAGCCAGGATTGCTGATAGAGAGGAGGCAGTGTGTTGACTCACACCCTAATTCTGAAAACCTGACCCACATCCTAATTCTGGAAACCGTCAGGGGAGAAAGGTGACCACAGCTGGACTTGGATTCTTCCCTTGCCTGAGGCTATGAAAAGAGACAACCTTTTAAGGAAATTACCCTTGTCTTTTCTTTATAGGAAGATTCCGTGGTTTCGAAATTGTTTAGCGTTCTCTATACAGCATGTTCTAGCCTCGTGGGAGAGAGAAGACCACTTTCCATTCCCATTTTGCAAACATAGACATTAAGCGATCAGAGTGCTTGGGCTCACTGAGCAGGATGCCAATCCAAGCCACCTACGTCCTCAGCTTGGGCCCGCGGCCCCCACAATAGGTCCTCACTATACAAGAATTTCTTAAGTGTCCCCCAAGTGGTTCATGATTTCCAGGAGGGTGGCACCCTGCCTTTCCACCTCTGGAACCCAGAAGCTATCACCTTAGTGACTCAGAGCAGGTATTGAATAAACATTTGTGGAATGAATACATAAGAAGCCTAGAGGAGCCACTCTGGGCAGAAATAGCTGCTTCCCTTTCAAGCTCCTTTCCTCTGCTTGAGTTTAAGACTGCTTCTCTTCAGGTGACCACGTAAGCGGAAAGGCTTGGGTGGGTCCTAGGAATGTGAACAGAGAGGTACACTCTACCAGTCTGTTCCAGGCCTACACTCTCCTTAAATGGGAATCCCCTTTAGGATCTAATCAGAGAGCTCTGGGCCCCTAGACAAATCCTAATTCTGGATTATGGAGACTTTTCCCCTTATTTTGATGTTCCTGGTTTATTCCCTGCATACACGACCCTTTCCAGGATCTCATAGTAGACAAGTGACATTATGGCCTAGGTGTTCTATTTCTGAGTCAAAATACTATCTCTTAAGACACTTTGTAATATTCTGCCTGACCACCCCAAAAACAATTATTTTCAAATTAATTGTTTTATAAAAGTGCACCAGAACTCATGGTACCATTCCTCACTAGCCTTACCAGTTAGTTCTTCCTAGGATGTTTATCTCCACATGACCAAGTATGTCTTTTTACATTTACCTTGTCTGTGAGCTCTCCCCCGCTGTGAGAGTGCACAGTCCACGAGGACAATGAGGAGAACAGGCTGGGCCTCCATAGAGTGCAGAGGAGCAGCAGCGTTCAGGCTGTGCCTTGCCCAGAGTGACTCCATTTTATAAAGTGACGCTTGATTCTATTTTGAGTGCATGTGGTGAGTGAGAATGCAAGTAAGTATCAATCATCCGTCTAGCACGTGTTATGGTGCAGACTGATAGATAACTTATTTATGCAAATAAAAACCGCCATTTATGAACTCACAGAGTAAATCAGGGGCACATAGACACATGGACATGTTAGAATTATATCAAAGAGGCTGGAGACATGGCTCAGAGGTTAAGAGCACTGCCTGTTCTTCCAAAGGTCCTGAGTTCAATTCCCAGCACCCACATGGTGGCTCACGATCATCTGTAATGAGATCTGGTGCCCTCTTCTGTGTACATAATAAATAAATGAATAAATAAATAAATAAATAAATAAATAAATAAATAAATAAATAAATAAATAAATCTAAAAAAAAAAAAAAAGGAAGGACCACCTAACACCAGGGCAAGTGACGTACACTCAGTCATCAGGTCATAGGCTTGACAGGTGTCAAACTCTTGACGCCGTCCCCAGGGCTTCGGCTCAGCATGATTCCCCCAGACATGGCCAAGTGCAACTGCTGCTTGTCTGGACCGCTGAGCCTTGAGCTAGCTGAGCGCCTTGGAGCAACTCTAGGCTTTAAACCAACACCGTTCCTCACCTGACTGCCTTGGCAATCCTGTGCCCAGCCAACTCAGTGTGCTCGTTATTTTAATTTTCATTTAACCCTGTGCAGCTGACTCTTGGAGACTTCTGTCAGCTCTCCGCCTCTGTCTCCAGGAAGGCCCCTCTGAACCTCATGGCAGCTTTATCCCATTTTAGCCATTGTGCTACTTAGATGTCATTGTGTGACATCTAAGATGTCACAAGATGTCTGCGTGTGGAATCATAGTTATGTTATCAATGGAACGAAAGAGACTGTCACTAGCCAGCAGTCACGAGTGCCAGGTGAAATAAGTATTGGGTAACTTAAAGCCAACATGTCCTCCTGAAGACACAACAGACCCTATGAATGACACAGGGAGCCTACCAACAACTTCTGTTACCCCATTCTGTTCCCTAGCTTGTTTATTAAACAAAAGAGTGAAGCAAAAAGCCCTGCAGAGAGCTCACCAAGATTTGCCCTTCTTTGGTGGTTTAAATGCCTGTCTAGGTTTCTCATGAATTCCATGGTTTACTTTAACGGCCTCCCCTTGCGTTATAAAACACCTACTCAGGGCTGATTGATTGTCAAACACAAGTACAACACAGTATGTCCACTATCGATATTTGAGGAGCGTGAGCATAATACACCTTTTCTTCAGTATCTTCTCAAGAAAAGTGATGAAGTCTACAAAGGCTTATATAGGTAGACAGCTCCTTTGGATAAGAAAATGTTTGTGTATAACATGATCTTAAACACACAGTGTCAGATCACTTTTGTTTTAGTTGCTACTTCATACCTGTTCTGAAGACAATACCACTGTCCTCTAGTCACTGGCAGAAATCTGATGCTGTCCTGAAAAAGTGGGACAGCCACAAGTCGGGCTCACCGAAGCAACACCTAATGGCAGATGGCTTCAGAGCTAGCTGATTCCGAATAGCAATTAAAACACAGCACTGGCTCCCAGTCCAGGACCAGCATTGTTTTCAGGCTACTGATGTTGGTGGGTATTAAGGATACTGCTATTCAGAATTGCTGAAAGAGAAAGTGGTAATTTGCTGGCCATTTCTTTCTCTTTAATGCAAAGACTTACCCATTTGTGGAATGGAGACTACATTCCTAGGTAAGTCTAATTTCATTTTCAGCTTTTCCTTATTTTTATTGTTTTAAGAATATGGTTGGCATTTGGGAGGCAGAGCCAGGCGGACCTCTGTGAGTTCGAGGCTAGCCTGGTCTACAGAGGGAGACTCAGGACAGGCATCAAAGCTACACAGAGAAATACTGTCTCGGGGGGAAAAAAAGAATATGGTTGATTTTGTTTTTTATTCTGGTTTTCTTTGTTCTTGTTTTGAGACAGGGTACCACTATGTAGCTTTGGTTGGCCTGGAACTCACTGTGTAGACCAGGCTGATCTCAAACTTATAGACATTGATCTGTCTCTGCCTCCCCCATACCTAGCTTATTCAGTTTTATATTAGAAACAGCATCTCTTTACATATCCCACACTGGCCTCATGATTCTCCTGTCTCAGTCTTTTGAGTACCAGGATCGTAGGCACTTGTCTCCATTCCTAACTTGATTTTTAAGTTTATAAGTTTAGCCATTGTAAGATTTGAAAAAAATTTCTCATTGCTCAGGAAGGGAGCAGCAGACTATAAGCACAGGGAAGGCTGTCTCTTGCTGCTATTCTCCCAAGTCATCCCACCAGTGCTCATTTTAAAAGTTAACATCACAGTCACGGACAATGTAAATCATATCACCTTCCCCAGAGAACAAGCCTGCAGTCTATAAGTGAAGGGAAACAGAAAGATCCACCGTGTTATCTTATCACTCAATTGAATGATTAAGGCTTGCCAGGTACCCGGAACATTGAGTCAATGACAGACCACATAAATGTTGGTGATCTCATGGACTAAAGTGGGGCTGGGAAATGTTTATCTCTTAGGGCCACTGTTGCTATCATAGCCTGATAAGGCAAGATATTCCTCACATACCCATGGTGATGCTTGTGTTAACGGTCACACTGCCACCAGTCACATCAGACAATAGCAGATACAATTATACGGTGGGTAGTACTTGGCAATGATATTAAATGACTTACGAGTAACTACACTGTGCTGTTTTAGAGGGTCCCTTTTCTCCTCTTATTACAACAAATGCAAGGTAAGCCAGTATTCCGTGTAACACTGGCAGCAGACAAATAGGACTGGTGGCTGTCATGTTCTTGATGGCATCGAAGTCCACACTGAGTCACTGACCCACACCATCTAGGTTTGTGTAAGTGCACCCCAAGATAGTCACATAATGACTAAATCACATAGTGACACATTTCTCCGGGCAGACCTCCGATATTAATAATTATATGTTCACCTCTCTTTGTTTCCTATTTCATTGACCACAGTCCAGAAAGGCTTCTTTCAGAGGACGCCATCAACTTGTCTTTGTCTCTGTGTTCACTGAGACACATATATCTGGTGTGCTTGACCTCTGATCCATGAGAAGCGCGGTGTGCCCCAGATGCAGGATAAAGTGTCCCCTTTTCTGGGAGAAGGGTTAAGAGAATCCATCAGGTTTGGAACTGGCTTGCTGACGATCCCTTCTCACAGAGCCAAGAGCAACAGCACTTCCTGTGCTGTATTTGCTTTTGGACTTCATCATCCAGACCAAATGGGGCAAAGGTCTTCTGGGGGGAAGAGGTAAAATATGATAGGCGTAGACTCCTCACCAGTCTGACTGGATTAGAAGCCCACTTATCAGTTGGGCAAAAAAATGCTATGTTCAACAAACCCTCTTTCCAACAGGAAATGCATAGTTCAGAAAATAAAGCCATTCAGCATTCCTGACTCTGTAAATAGCTTCAGATATCATGAATGTTGGTCTGTGGAGACTAGAGGTCCAGAGGAGAAAGTCACCTGGGAGTCTCCTTCTTCTAGGAGTTAGAAGGTCTTGTGTCTTCATCCATGTTTATTATTCTATTATTCCTAATATCAAGAAAACAGAACCAATCAAGGAGACTGGAAAATGAGACAGCAGCATGTACACATGGTGGCAACTCACTCAGCTGTGAAGAAAACTGAAGTTATGAAATGCTCAAAGAGAATGGACAAATCTGGGAAGTACTATCTTAAGTTAGGTGCCCAGACCCAGAAAGATGCAAATTCTCTCTTCTATGCATATCTTAACTTTTAATATCTGTGTGTATGTAAATAAGGGGGTGTGAGAAGGAATATGGGGTGTGACGCCAGTTAGGAGGACACAAGAGGAAAACAAGGGTGTGGTATTGTGTTCCCCCAAATACTGTGCATGCTAATAAACTTATCTGGGGTCAGAGACAGAACAGCCACAATATTAAACATAAAGGATAGGCAGTGGTAGCATACACCTTTAATCCTAGCATTCCAGAGGCAGAAATCCATGTGTTCAAGGATACAGCCAGGCATGGTGACTCATCACACCTCTAATCCCAGAAAGTAAGGCTTTAATCCCAGGGAGTGGTGGTAGAAAGCAGAAAAGTATATAAGGCGTGAGGACCAGAAACTAGCAGCATTTGGCTGGTTAAGCATTTTGGCTGGTTAAGCATTCAGGCTTTTGAGCAGCAGTTCAGCTGAGAGCCATTCGGATATGAGGACACAGAGGCTTCCGGTCTGAAACAAGATCAGCTGAGGAATTGGCAAGAGTGAGATAGCTGTGGCTTGTTCTGCTTCTCTGATCTACCAGCATTGACCCCAATAACTGGCCTCAGGTTTGATTTTATTAATAAGACTCTCTAAGAGTCATGCTACACAAGGGGTATTAAGTAAGTGGCAGGGGAGGTATTGTAACTAGAGTTTTCCTGCCTTGCCCACAGTCAGGACAAATCTTTGTCACCTGCCAGTCCCACAGCCGCTCAGACCCAACCAAGTAAACACAGACTTACAAACTGTATGGCTGTGGCAGGCTTCTTGCTAACTGTTCTTATAGCTTAAATTAATCTATTTCTATAAATCTATACCTTGCCACGTGGCTCATGGCTTACCGGCGTCTTCACATGCTGGTTTTCATGGCAATGGCTGGCAGTGTCTCCCTCTGCCTTCCTATTCCAATTCTCTTCTCTGTTAGTCCCGCCTATACTTCCTGCCTGGCCACTGGCCAATCAGTGCTTTATTTATTGACCAATCGGAGCAATTTAACATACAGACCATCCCACAGCAAGGGATAAGGACTTACATGACATGAAATTGAAAAGTGGGCTCCTGGGGGTTGGGGGCACAGGAGTGCGAGAAACAGTGAGATCTAATTATTTGTATACCGATAAAAGGTAAATTCAAAACGAAGCCTGCTGTCTCCAGGGTCAAGCTAGGCTTCACTTCTACCAGGCCCTGGTGGGGATGCTTCATCGGACTATGATAGCCCCACCTGCTTCCTTCATGGTGTGAACCATCATCACACCCAACCCCTGCACGTACACCAAAGTCAGTCTCAAAGTGAGGGTAAAGCCCGCGTTAGAGGGTTAGAGCATTGCTGAGAAAGTCCTGAGACAATTTGCCTCTCTGTGTGTTTTCCACTACATGAAGACACAGCAAGAAGGCAGCCACCTGCACAACACAAAGACCCACACCAGAAAGTGACCGCGCTGAGGCCCTGATCTCAAGCTGCCAGCCAGGACACATACCGAGAAGGGCTGTCTGCTGTCCGGTGGCATTACGGCAGCTAAACCGACCAGTGTTGCTTTACAGGGAGCGGTTCGGAAATCTCTCTTCTTTGAGCATCGCCTGCTAGAGTCCCGGGCTCCAGGGGCAGAAGGACTTGCCACGCAGCTGGACTGACATTCCTAGGCATGGGTCCTGAGAAGAGACCAGTGAGACCGTTTGAAATGAAGGACCCCCACCATCATGGACTCTCTCATGCTCTCCTTCCTCGACATGTATAATTCAAACTTAAATTCTGGTTCCATTTCTCCCCCTCGCTTGATTTCTCTAGGCTTTTTTGTTTCATTTTCTGCATATAACATGTACCTTGCAAAAGTAAAATAAAGAAGGAAGGGGAACAATGTGTATAAAGCTGCTAGCACATAATTTGCCACATAATAGGAACACAAAAAGCCCAGCTATTAGAGTTAGATTCTAGCGATTTCTAGCGAGAAATCCCATGCCCTGTTCCTAATTAGTATCCTTCCCCTGGAACAGTTCACCCACTCTCTTCCTGCTGCCCTTTTCCTAACTAACTTTGACCCACATTTCAGATCTGGGCATGCATCTCGCACGACACTTCCTTCTAGAAACTCGGGGTGTCTGTGGCACTGATCTATGTCCATGTAATAATTAACCCAATGTCTCTTGCCGACTGCTGAGTCTTCCCTCTTCCGTTACCCCACAGTAAACTCCACCAGCGCAGAGACCGGAAGGTCTGAACGCTGCCCTGCCAGTGAGCAGAGTGTCCAGCCCGTTAGTGTTACAAGAGTGGGGATGTGAGTCGGTGAATAACTGAGCCAATTTCTAGTGAATCCTTGGCGCTTGTGCTTCTGTGTTCCGGCTGTCATTTCTGACCTCCTAAAATATTCAGGGGACCCCGTTTTCCCCTTTGTGGACAAGACAGTTGATGGTGCCATTGGTCAACATGAATATTTGTTTATCTTAAGTCCGCCCAGTTTGTTTCCTTTGTATTTATAAAGGGTCCTGTGAATGGTGACAAAGGAGCCACCGGAGAGTCCCGCACCAGCCCGGTGAGAAGGCTGTGACTCCGGTCTGCACCCTGGAGCGCACCAGGATGTTGTGACCAGCAAGCTTCCTCAAGGGTGGGGATTTTTCTTCACCGCCTTAGTTTGTCACATCTGAGTGTGACCAAAGGCCCGCCTTAGACTGTGGGGAAGGATTTTTTTTCCCTAAAAGTATACTTAGCTTTGTGAAAATAACCAGCATGAGTTCTGCTCCTCCCCCTTTCTCTGTATTTAGTGGATTCCTTTCCCACTCTTATTCATTCTAACCGGGCATGGAGGCCCACATCTGGAACCCTAGCTAGCACTTGTGAAGCCTGAAGCAAGAAGATTGCTATGAGTCCAAGGCCAGCCTGAGGTATATAATGAGTTTCAGGCCATCCTGGGCTACAGAGTGAGACCCTGTCTGAACAAACAAGTATTTGGGTGTGGGCATATGTACTGTTTTTTTGCTTAGAACTGTAACAGCTATACACCAAACAAATCACCTGGTTATTTACCCTTCAAGAAATATAATATCCATTATAGAGTCAGCCTACAATCTCCATGAAAAATACCTCCCTTTACCTTTACCTACACAAAAAAGTTACTCTGAAATCTTGCCTAGTAGAATTTAGTTAATACTATAGGAACAATGTAGGGGAGTGTATATATACTCATTGAAAATTGTCTTTGGCAACTCAGCAGCAGACTAAATGTATAAACTTAATTGAGGTTAAAAACTCATTAAGTCTCAGGTTACCCATCTATAAAATGAGGACAATAACTTAATTGATGTAAATCAACTCTGTTCAGTCCATAATTAATGGAGGTTAGCTATTACTATAATTGCCATTGCCCTAATCATTGCTAAAAGCCTACAGTTCAAAGGACAGAGTCCAAACAAAGAAGTTGCTTAGGATCCACCCTTCAGTATGTAAGACCTTGCAGGGGTCTTGACTTTTTGACTCAATAGAACCCTGTCCATTGTTGAATACCAAATGATGAAGCTGTTCACAGTCCATAGTGAGAAACGACTTAACTGTGCAATGTTTAGCAAAAATCCCCAGGAGTATGTAGGTATCCAAAGACTAATCTACATTCACTGCTTGAAAACAACTCCCCAAATTGTTAGTACCTTGTTTCTGTGTGATTTCAGATCAACTAATAAATTTGATTCTATAGGCATTGCTAGCTGATAAAGGTTGACTCTAGGCCTCAAGCATCGTGTTCTTACAAAACATTTTTAATTTTCCATGGAGGCTGTGGCCACTTGAAGCCGCTTCACTGACCCCATGTTTTGGATTGACTGTAGCCAAAAGAAATTCCTAGGCATCTAGCCCCAAGCGACTATGTACAGCTATGCTGGAAAGAACTGTCCCATGTTCTGAGCTCTGCAGGAGGAAAAGAACGAAGAAGAGACTTTGAAATGTTTGACCCCACGCCCCGATTCTTCTACAAAGCAAGCAGTTGCTCAGTGGAACGAGTGTCTCTTGAGGGAATCCATACTCCATGTCTCCCGTGTCACCTCCTGTCTCCCTTGTCTTACAAACACATATTCCCTCTCTGAGGCCCAGCCCAAGTGTAGCCTCCTGAAAGCCTTCCATAACCCTACATCTGGAATTACTTTCCTCACTCTTATTTCTGTTAAGCCTTTTGATAAAGTCTTCTGCTTTAAAACTTCCTGCAGTTAGATGTTTGCCAGGCCAAAACTCCAGACCAGTAGTATTCACATAAATATTTACTAACAAGCCTGTGACTCACCAACACTACTTTGTATTCCCTGGAAGCTAGCACAGTGCTGGACAATGGTAGGTTCTCAAGAACTCCCAGTTGTTCTTACTTATTACCAGCAATCTCTTATTCAGGTTCAGTCCCCGGCACTACTAGGAAATAGAGAATAGGCTTGTCTTTGAGGCACTCTGTTTTCTGTACTCCCTGTTTCTCGAAGCATTTATACTTTCCAAGGCTCTTCCTGACAGTAAGGCCACTTCAACAAGCCAATGCAAATCAGATGTTCAGAATAAAGCTGGATGCTAACAGTTAAAGACACATACATTTAAAAGACAATGCCCATGCACCACATTGTATGGTCACAATAACTCAAGGACTTTCATATACTTCATGTATATCATTGAGGTAAATATATTGGTGCTTAGGGGTATCTCAAGTGTCTCAAGCCATATAGACTTTACTAGCAGCTATTTAGGCTGTAATGGCAGTACAATGATTCTGTGTTTTCAAATTGGAATCCACAGTCAGCTTTACAAATGACACAAGCGAATGCGTGTTCTCTCGGTGGAGCCCTATTTAATCCTCTTGGGTTAAGCAACATTTCTAACACATCTGTAAAGCACATTGACCAAGACCCACAGTGTCCTAACAATTTGAAGCAAGTAGGCTTGCCTCTGATAGGCAAAAAACCCAGCTCACTGATAAGCACCGGGTGCTTATTAAATTTGATTTGATTTCAGACGGAACCAGGGAACCCAGTGCTTGTAAAAGTCAGCTGTGTTTATTTGCTAACTTTTTTCTCTAAGTTGGATTTATTATCTTTATTACTGATTTAATTAAATCAATTAACTACTATGGAAATTAATGAAATATGAGTTGGAAAACAAGATATCGGGTTTTTTATGAAAACAGTTTTCATAAATAATTTACAGAAATAGAATAGAAGTTACTAACAATTTATCAAAACTAAATTTGAAAAAAAATAAATGAAACAATGGTGTCATAAAAGTCTAGAAGACATAGTCTTTCATTAATACATCTTTAAATGCTGTCTCTGCCATAAATAAATTAAAGTCAGAGCTCACAGGCCATACAGGAAAGATATTACTCAAGAAAGTTAACACTGTACTCAATTAGTAGACTCAACCTTAAAAAATGGTTCTAGGATCTACATGAAAAGATTAGGGGTCCTGGGGATGTAGCTCAGAGGTAGAGCACTTGCCCACCAACCACAAGGCCCTGACTTCAAGCCCCAGGACTGCCAAATAAACAATACGGTGAGAAAAGATTGCCTATGGAAACTACATGAACAGATTTTAGGTCAGAAGCCTTAGGAGAAAATACATCCCTTGAAGGAGACGGAGAGACAGAGTCCTTGCCTTCCTGTCTCACTTCTTCACTTACAGGGACAGACCTTGGCTATGACGATCACATCAGAAGGGTGGTCCTGTCAACTACTCACACCTGTCCTTCCCCAGTGTCCATGAGGGTTCTTCTCTGGCTTCTTTTTTACTATTCATCCGTCTCTGTCTCTCTGTCTGTCTCTCTCTCTCATACACACACACCTCATTCTCAAACCCAAAAAAGGAAGACATGGCACAGTGGGACTTTCTAGTTACTGTATTTCTCTAACCCATGACTTAGCTGTTGCCACTTCATTCAAACAATTAAGAATTCTTTGGAGGGCTGGAGAGATGACTCAGCAATTAAGAGCACTGACTGTTCTTCCACAGGACCCTGGTTCAATTCCCAGCACCTACATGGTAGCTCAAAACTGTAACTCCAGTTCCAGGGGATCCGACATACAGACATGCAGGCAGGCAGAACACCAATGCACATAAAATAAAAATAAATTAAAAAAAAAAAAAGAATGCTTTGGAATTGAGGACCAAGACACAGGAAGCAGCAGAACCCGGTGGCTGAGAAAGGTAAACTGATTAAGGGGAAGAGGAGAAGCTGATAAACAGAAAGTTAAAAAGAGGGGACCAGGCACACTCACACGCAATGGAATGGAAAGTGTGAGCGGCCGGGTGGAAGCCAAGAAGGGAAAGAGTTCGACCTTTTGAAGATCCACTTCCATCAGTCTCCAAGTCTTGAAGAAGCAGGTATAAGTGGATCCCAAATACTACCACAGGCTCCCTCCAACCTCTTCAAACTCCTCATCTACTCTCATTAGGTCTGATTGAGAAATTACCATACTTTGAAATGCCACAAATGTTTGAAAAGGACACAGTTCCATTCATTCAAGTAAGCACGAGAAAAGTCTCCACGAATAGAGTTTTGTTTTGTTTTTTTTTTTTTAATGGAAATAAAAGTAGGGGATTCTGGTCTGGGACAGGGCTGAGTTTAGCAGCTCATAGTTGGTGTTCTTGGCTGGCATGGCAGCAGGAGAATCACCAGCAACTCCCCCGAGTTCTC